TTTTTTTTTTTTTTTTTTTTTTGCGGTTGGAAACCGTGTTGGAAATGGTTTTCCTTCCACAGCGTCCGGTATAATATAAAATTACGTTCTGGGCACGGCGGGACTGCAGCGAATAACAGCGTATTCGTGTTTGTATTTGACTGCCCTGGGAAAGAGACCGCGCTCCGCGCAAAGCATACTGGGAAGAGCCAACCATAGTATCCTGGGGACGAGTCGATGAACGATGAAAATTTGAGTTTTGAAGGGTGAAAAAAAGTTTTGAACGATGAAAATTGGGTTTTGAAGGGTGAAAATTTGAGTTTTGAAGGGTGAAAATTTGAGTTTTGAAGGGTGAAAAAAAGTTTTGAACGATGAAAATTGGGTTTTGAAGGGTGAAAAATTGAGTTTTGAAGGGTGAAAAATTAAATTCTGAACGATGAAAAATTAAGTTTTGAAGGGTGAAAATTGGGTTTTGAACGGTGAAAATTTGAGTTTTGAAGGGTGAAAAAAAGTTTTGAACGATGAAAATTTGAGTTTTGAAGGGTGAAAATTTGAGTTTTGAACGATGAAAATTTGAGTTTTGAAGGGTGAAAATTTGAGTTTTGAAGGGTGAAAATTTGAGTTTTGAAGGGTGAAAATTGGGTTTTGAAGGGTGAAAATAGGTTTTGAACGGTGAAAACTGACCCGATGAAGCCTTGTTGAAGTTGTACCTTTGGTCTTTCGTACAAATGGCCCGTAACGTCTCAAAACGGCGCACGGGCTTCAGAAGTAGAGCGGGGTCGCTCGGTAAATATTAGTTCTAGTCCGCGCAAATGCTTTTGGTTCTGCCGACAGGGCTTGGTTTAGAGTCATAAACATCCTTAAGCGCCATCCCTTCAAACCCCTTCAAACTTTTTTGAGAACTGCACCGAAACATCACCAAGGGTAGTATTAGCCCCCCCCCCCCAACCTGCTGAATCAGGATGTTCGTTCAGGACACCAGGATTTCCTGGTTCCCAGTCTGCCTAACAAACTCGTGAGGCGGTTGGAAAGAGTAGAAATAGAGAGATAACATGCCAGGGGAGTTTGTCTGCTGGGAGAGAACATTTTGCCGCACTCGAAGAATGTAGCGACTCCGCACAGGCTTCGGGTGCGGCAAAATGTCCCAATAACCCAATAAGTCTGCGAAGGAGGCTACCAAAAATAAGCCCAAACCCAAATAAACGTCTGCTTGGAGAGCACTACCGACCTGTTCTCCGGACCACCGGCGGTGCACCTCACACATCCCTGCACACATCAAACCGCGTACGGGTCAACACCTGACATGAACAACATTAGCACCCGCCTCATTACACACAATATCCACCCTTCTAACCACCAACTCCAGTCAGGTAGAAAAAACCTACTCTCCAAGCAGAGGTTGATGGTGGAAAATCGTTTGCTTTTTATATATGACCCTTTTTTGTCGCTACTTACCACCACCAACCTTGGGTGGGGAAATGGTTACAGACTAGCCAATTTGATACTGTCTTACCCCCACCAAAAGATCTGCTTGGAGATTAGAAAAACCTCGGCTGACACCCAATACAGTACCCACCCAACCTAACCACCGACTATAGGTCTCCAGTCGGGTAGAAACTTGGCTGAAACACGTTAGTTGGGACCAATTTGTGGTTCTTTGGACGTATTTACTACAATATTTTGGCCTGTCTCGTAGGCTTAATATATAGCCTGAGTGTCAGTCTTTTTAGCTTTCGTCCGCTCCACACGATAGCAGATCGTGGGGAGCAGACGAAAGCTAAAAAGTCTGACACCCAGGCTAAGGCTTATACACTTCTTCTTTAGGCTCTGTATTTATTTTGGCTCTGTCTGGAAGGCTTATACACATTATACTGTCTTCATAGGTCTTATGTCATTGAACCAATTTGATGCAGTAGCTTCGAAAATGGAGCGGGCAACTTAAAAGTAATTTTCCTTTTCATCAGACAAAAACCTGTCGACGCGAAATAATTATATAGTACACAATGACAGGAAATGTCAGACAGAAAATTTAAGATGGATCAATTTGAGAATTTTTTAAGAAGAAAAAAAAATACAGAAACAACATGTGGACCAATTGGCAGTCGTCGTATGCCTTATCATTATCATGTACGAATGTGTTGAACTTAATTTCCATCGTAGTACATGCCAATGTGCTATTAATGGATGACGTCCAAGTGGGTCTGTATAGACGTCAGGAATAAAGAACAAAGAAAAGAGGAACATGTGAAGAACAGTTTCGGACTAGATAGTTGCTCAGTGACGTGCATGAGCCGCCATGATGAGTCATGTCTGGCAGACAACACGGGGAATCCCAGTGACGTGTATGACAGCTGACATTCCAGTAACCGTGCGGGTGCAGTGCCATAATGTGATGTGTATGACAGAAGACATTGTCTGTAGCGGGTGTGCCAAATAATGGCAGGGTGGGGTGGGACCGTGACGTGCACATACTTGGCAGTTGTCGTTCCAGCATGTTATGTAAATCCTGGTCTATCTCCGGTTCACCGAAGTTCGACTGTCTCAAACACTGGTGTAGCCTGGATGTCAGGCTGTCCTAAGCTAGACCATAAGAAGCTCTGAGAAGTTGCTCAGTGAGTGTCTATTAAATAAAGTAACCAAGTCTCCCTGTAAGCTCCTTGGTCTAACTGATGGGATCTGTGGTACGTAAATTTCCTTAAGCACAAGATGGCATTATTTCCCTTTTTTGCCGAATTCTACGATCCGTATTCCCATAGGAAGGCCTGGCGAAGGCTATATAATGAAAATCGCTCGGCAATGGCAAAAGTGCCTTTAAATTTAGCCTAAGGGCATTAAGGAGTGGTGAAGAACACAAAGAGCACACCTGGTATTTTGAACCAGAATTATGTCTGAACCTCACAATGGACAAAAGCAAACAACGGCTTTCTACTAGTATCTCAATCTACCAATCCAGCTACGTACTAACAATGATGTGGTTTGCCTCGCCCTTCTACTGACATATACAACAATTGGTTATGCTACGGTGCACCCAATGTGGCCAATTCACAATGTAACAATTGACATAAGTCACAGGTGGCCGCTCCCTTCCTTAAAATGAGGAAGCTTTTAAAAGAATGGGCTTGTTCACCCAGGCGTGGTTCCCGCCATTTGTTACCGTTCCAATTTCTGGATTAGGCTCGGGATTATACAGCATTATGACGCGCTGTGAGTTTCAACATCGGAATCTGTTAGCTGTAATCCTGTGAGCCCGCGAATGAATGGATGAACAGGTGGTTTTCAAAACATGACGCATACAGTATATATCTTTTCAACACACGGAATGTAGATAAATAAAAACTACGAATTTCCAACAACTATCGTAGAGTGGAACTCGTTGCCACCAAGCACAGTTGGGTCATCATCACTAGAAACAACTCCTGCAATTAAATGTGCAAAGATTGAGTGTAACAAGTTCTTCGGTATGACATAGCTAGCTGCCGCCGCGCCGCGTGCCTGTGAAGCTGGTGTGTTACGCCTAAGGACGGTTATATCGGCTATACAGATACAGATACATTTTGACCTATTTTGTAGATAACTAGTCTCCGTCTTGACTTTACCCGCGCTAGTAGTCCGAGTCAGTGCCGATTGGCCGACGACGTACGTGCAATTCCCCGGTAATGCGCCAGGTGGCGCTGCATCCCACGACTAAAGACGAACGTTCAAAAACTAGTAATTCTTGGGAAACACGAGTTTTTGAACACCTCAATCCCTGGTTAATAACTCTGACATTTGAAGGCATGACTGTTTCTTGTTCTTTTCTGGGCTGGTATCAGATACTTAGTGGTTGGTACGTCCACCAGTTTATTGCTAGTAGTCATTTCGTACATTATACATACATTACATATAGTCTGACTTGTTTTTCTTTGTCTCAGGTGTACATCTCAGCTGGCCCGGCGGCGAGATCAAAGCTTCCCGACCGCACGGTGAAAAGCATCGTCAGCAGCGCGCAGGCTCAGTTGGCGTCCGAAGACTTCCAGTCCGCTATCCTCACAGTGGTCAACGGCGTCAAGTCCGAGTTTGAAGACATGGACACTACTGTACTGGCCATCATTGTCGCCGCTTGCGTTCTTGGCCTTCTCACAGTCATTCTGGTCAGCGTCTTGGTCTGTCTTAAGCTGCGTTCGATGAAGGAGGACTCCAAGCCGACTTTCTTCCGACCGGACAAGACGCGAGAGTCCCGAAAGAGTCTAGCCAAGAGCGAGACGCACTACGACCCGAACACGGACAATGTGTACGTCTCACTACGGGAGAACAAGACGGCAGAGGCTGTTGTATGATGGGATATGTGTGTGTGTGTGTTCGCGCGGGGCAATATGGGATAGTATTTATTATAGTATTTATTTCCTCATGTTAAGACAGCTGGGTAACCTATTCAGCTTGGTCGTTTATTTGTTTATTTTATTTGCACATGTATAAAATAGAATACAGAAAATAAATTACTAATACATGTATAAAACAGAATATTGCTGGCAAGGCGATAAAGTATTCGATCTGACTTTTGAGTTTCAAAATCCATTTTAGTCATTTTCATCAGCAATATCTGTCCCAAACTACAAATTGTGGGTCCAGGAGACAATACTAGTATCTAGATTGGACATGACATGCATATTTCTACAATCAAGGAGCTTAAAATTGACTTAAATGTGGTTACACATTGTGTGTTTTAAGGCATTGTACAATATTTAGATTTGGGCATCATTTCACACGCAATAAAAGTCATTAAAACAAGCAATAATGTTGGTTTGAGACAGACCACATCAGTACGTTAAAAGTGCTTAATCTGTGGAGCCTTTGAAAGTTTAGATGTTTCATGTTGTAATAAAATAAATTTTTTAATGTTAGAAGTTCTCTTACTTTTGTGAGGCCTAGAATGTGTAATGGAAAACTCAAAGACAATACTTTTGTAAATTTCTGCAGTGTTTTTCTAACATTAAGTAGATCTATATTAAAGCCATTATGAAACTTTGAATGTGTTTTGTTTTCCTTGTGTTGCATGGAACTGGTTATTATATTGTCTAATGTCTGCATTATATAGTGGCCTTGGTCCAAAGTAAAGAAGAATCCTGCCCTTCTTGTGGAGATGAAATGATTAAAAACAACAACAACTTTCCTCTTAATCTTTATTGCAACATAATTTTTAGGTACATGAGAATAATTTATATTATATATGTATAGTATAAAATTTTTATACAAATTGAACCCAAACCATACACCATGGCGTTACGTGATTGTAGTAGCAGCTACTAGTAGGTAGAAATTATAAATCTATTTCATGAGTCATAAGAACAAGTAAAAATTCAACAATATAGAAATCTCAGTTATACAGCCATTGGCTCTTTGTAATTACATGTATCTAAGTCATGATTATTCTTTGGTCCAGATAAATGAAGAATTAAAAATGAACTGACTTTAAAAATATACTACTTTTGGTCGACTTTGGCATCAGCATTTTGGTCCTAATACTTTACGTGTTGGTAGGTACACTACTACATATTAATTATGTAGCATATTACATGATGGCACATTAAAAATGGTATATAAATGTACTGGCATTGACATGATTCCTGATAAGAGTCATCTCAACACAGAAAGACTTAAAATAATAACGTAGCATATCATAACATAATGGCACATTAAAATGGTGTATACTGGCTCTGATATGACAAGTGATCTCAACAGTCTGATAGGCATAAAATTCAACATACCATTGCAGCAACATGTTCAAAATCTAACAGTTTTCATCACAGTTACTCCTACCACATGAGGATACCTGCATTTCACATATTGACCCTGCAAGTGGAACAGTTTTAGCTAATCTCCAAGCAGATTTTAGCCTGGATGCCAGACCCATAGCATGCTAGGCCCAGAGTTAGCCAGTGTCAGGGCCTAACCAAGGGGGGTTTGGTGTAATTTCCTTGGGGTATGTTGTCCCTGGTGCCTGGTGCCGGTGCCTGTGTAGGCCCTGGAAACAGTCTGTCACCCAGGCTCAACAGATTTCTTCTGGAAGCACTTAGGTAAGAAATCTTAGTTGTGTAAAAGAAAACTCCTGTATCCTATACTTTACCTGATGAAAAAACATGTATTTTCGGATCTCTAGCTAGTAGCAGATTCAGTTCCGACTGTTGTGGACTTTTGTCCCTTCTCCTGATTCTCCACCAACTGTAGCTGTGCTGCCTGCAGGGCCTCTTTGGTCTTCCTGAACTTCTTGTCGACACACTTGGCACAGAGTTGCAGGTAGATCTGCGTGACGACGATCTCGCTGCGTTCCGAGAGGAACTGCGACACGTAGGTGGTCCCGTGGGCCGCGGTGAGCCGCCGGGACGGTCGAACAAACCGGTGAGAGGAACCCTGCAGACATCGCTTCACAAACTCCTGCACCTGGAGGATAGAAGTCACAACATGTCAGGCTAAAATAAATGTCACTTTTCTGTACAGAAATTGTCTATCTATCCAGTTTACCATCTGTTGTTGCCTGTAGTGAGGGTTAGACAAACTTGCACACTGATGCTGGGGCTTGATGGTAGCTCGCCATTTGCCTTTGCCCTGTGGTTCTTGGGCACAGCAAATGTCAAATGCCCTGTGGGTTAGAGTCTCAGCAACTTCACCAGCCAGCCACGCGGTGTCCCAACATGATGAAGACTCAGACCCTTGATGTAAAGTTTGATGACAGAGTCATTTCCTTGTGTTGAATACTGTACATTAAAATATGAATATAACTGTACACTATACATAGGTGAAATCAATAGTACAAACCTGTAGTTGATGTTGCTCCCAGTCCTCCCTGTTCTCCCTGATGCTGAGCTGCAGCTCCTCAGACACAACTCCCTCCACAGCTGCCAGCACCTGAGCTATCCTGGGCGAGAACTCATGCTTATCTGGAATGGAAAACCAGGGCTCGAAATTCATGTTTGGGAATAGGTGCACTGGTACACCCAACCTAAAAAATTGTGTGCACAAAAGATACATGTACATTTGGGTGCACCATATAAAATGAAATAAATAGAATGTCAACATTTAGCAAAAACTAAATATCTTTCATTTCTAAAGAAAGCTATTATTTTTCTGACACTTCACTTGGATGTTAAGAATACACTGTATACTAATACATTTAACATCTTTACATACAAGCAAAAGTTTGCTGTCTGAGAAAAACGGACTTGTTTGCAGAACTATATATATCTTTAAAATGGCATCATCTTAAGCACAAGTACTAGTTATAATACTGAGACAAACACTAGAGAAAACACTGCATATCGCCAACCTGCTAGGAGCAGAGCCTCCAGCCCGAGTTGTTTGGTACTGATGTAAGCAGAGTTGATGGCCTGATGGTCCACGATAGCCTGGATCTCATTCAGGACCTGGGGGGAGGGGGGATGAAGAGGTGTGTGAGTGTGTATTACACATGTTCCTTAACCAAATCACCGGACCATACTGCCTCATTGGACAAAGTTAGAATATTAGACACTGAACAGGACTACGTTTTAAGAGGCATTAAGGAGGCCATGTATTCACTTAACAGAGACAGTGGACAATACAAACTCCCTAGCATGTTTGATCAATTGCTGATGTCACGTATCCGTAAAGTCTAGTGTGAATAAGGTCCCGCATCTCTAACCGTTACTCTCGCGAAATCACGTGTTGAAGTGATTGTTCATAAATATCCTGATGAAGGTGACAGTGGTCGTTGAAAATTTACCGACCACTGTTGTGTTGAAATAAATTTTACTATGATTTTTACCAACATAGATGAACTTTTCATGATAATGTTCCTTAACTGGTTCACATTGTACAGTTCTAACCTCTGTAGGAGTCATGTTCTCCAGCCTCCTCCTCAGGTCCCTGAACTGGAACATGTTCTCCTGGTAGAACTCGTACTTAGCCCGGAGCAGGCCCTTCAGCAGCTTGAGCTGTGCTGCGGTGCTGGGGTGCAGCCGCTTCAGGCTGGCCACCTCAACCACCAGCCTGGTCAGGTGGTCTGACAAGTCTGCCTGAGCCTTGGCTAACATCTGCATGTTACTTCTGGCCTGGAGCAAATATGGGAAAACAGAAAGGTAACATTTGCAAAGCAAATGCATAATGTTTACCTTCGCATATAGTCTGCTCTGTTAATTCTTACTCAAACACATTCATATATGTGGTCAGACAGGAGTCTAAATCCCTCCTGCTATCAAACTGCAACATGATGTAACCCAACACCAGTTACCAGTGACAGACAGTCTGGTTCAGGTCATTGACCCTTTAATTGGATTTTGAAGTTGCTCAGAGATACAAAGGAGAGAGAAAGAGGGAGAGAGAGAGAGAGAGTCAGAGTCAGAGTGAGAGAGAGAGAGAGAGAGTGGTTTGTGTACATGTGTTACATACATGTAGATACAGTACAATCATGTACTTACATGCAGGATCTTGCCTATGTAAGTCTCACCTGTGGTAAGTATTTAGGACTGCCTGCACTGATCTCCAGACCTTCTATCAGTTCCTGGTACTTGGGCAGCTGGGTGTCTATCTTAGACTGGGTAGCCGAGATCTTCTCATATACCTGATAGAAGAACACAGAACTGTGTTAGAATGATACATGATATGGGATACAAAACACTGTTTACTGAAGAAAGTTAAGACACTGTAGTAGTCTGATTTGTTATTATATGGCTTGTTTTTCTGCCATTGGTATTAACTCCAATGTCCACTTTTTAAGAGGACAGCTTTGTCAATTTGGCTTACTACACACTACTTGAAGCTGGCAAACTCACTGAATCTGTGTGTGCGAGTGTGTGTGTGCAATATAAAAAATACATCTACATGTACCTGTTTAATACTAGAGAAGATGTCCTGTTGTTCCTCCTCTGCTCCAGCCTGTGTGATCTCTGCCAGTTGTATGTCCTCTAACCCTGCCTGACAGGACCCACACACACGCTGGTACAGGCACAGGTTAGGCTCCACCTCAGGACAGCCTTTTACCTTGATGATGGCCCAGCGAGGGTCTGGGTGGTGGGAGAAAAGAGTGGAGATATCATTTATGTACACTCAGTACTTTTGTCACATATGCTGACCAAACATCTGACAAAATACATGGAAAATCCAGTTTTTGTGCAGGCACAGTATGTTCTGCCAACATGCTAATATCAGAAAGCCTATACCTGAGTAGGATCGTGTGTTTGACTCGGAACCAAGAGGTCCAAGGTTCGAGTCCTAAAATGCCACCAATCCTGTGCTCTTGGGAAAGGCACTTAACACAACTTTCCAAACTTAACTCAAGTGAAAATGAGTATTGTCTGCCCTGTATTTGTTTCTATGTGTGGGACACAACACCAGCAACAGCCACTTGTGTTCCGTGTGTGTATTGTATATTTACAATTTCAATAAATCCAATCAAATACCTGAGTCCTGTTCCCCGTCATCAGGTACATACAGGATGAGGTTCTCAGCAGAGCAGGTTGAACAGATGACACGCCCACACACACGACAGTTATGCTTCTGTTTCAGCAGGCCAAACTTCTGTTCACATAGCTACACATGGGAGGATTGGCATGATTTATATTTTAGCATGACAGTTCATCTTTGTTGGGCTTTTTGTCATGATGATTTATATTTATATTATAAACAAATTCACATAATTACAAATGGGACAAGAGTCAAGATTAAGACCATGGAAGGATAAACAAAAATTGTATTGTACAAAAATGAAACATATACCAGTAGTTTCCATCACAAGATCAAAGATACATACCTGTCCATATATGTCTCAAGGTAAAAAAAGCTTTTTCGGAGAATCTTTTTGTTAGTTACAATTTTTACCAAAACATCTCCTTGGAGTTTTTTCCTACAGGCAAAAAAAAACAAAAACAAAAACAGACCTGACAGAAGTCTGTGGCCCCCTTGGGCAGGTAGAAGGTTCCTTTCTGCCAGTCTGGGAGGGAGAAACTCTTCATGATCTCCAGAGAAGCAGACTTCAGCCAGGACGACCCTCCTGCTGCCAGGAACCCTTCTGTCAGACGCCGGCACTCCTGGGTAGAAACAGTTTGGGTTTGTACTACTACAGCAACATCAAGCAGCTGAATATCATTACAATTACCAAGCAAAAAAAAGTATTTCTTAAATCATAGCCATAATTCAAGCCTGTTCCACACTGCACTGTCCTGTACTAACCCTGGCCTTGGTGCTGAACTAACTTCCTCTACCCTGTACTATCATGTATCATCCCTGACCTTGGTGCTGAAGTACCTTCCCCCACTCAATACTATACTGTACCATCCCTGTCCTTGTTACTGAAGTACCTTCCCCCACTCAGTACTACTAGTATACTGTACCATCCCTGTACTGTAATTGATAACAAAAGTCTATTCATGAATGATGAAAAGTGAATATGTCATCATTCATATACATGTATACTGACTATGATGTTTGAGAATCACAACACTGTACTTTTAGCCACTGATGTGTCCACACAAACCTTGTGATAGTCCAGTTTCCTGTGCAGCCTACTGCCAGACTTAGGTTTGTACTTGGGGCTGGTTTTCCTGCCCTTCAGGGTGAAGAACAGGTCTGTCAGATCCTGGGTCTGACCGATGGTCTGTGGACCCTCGTCAAAACAGGAGGCACATACCTGGGAGAAATGAGGATACAGGAAGGTTAGAATGCAAGAAGGCTTTAGGTTTTTCATGTATGTGAGGCCTAAGAAAAAAATGTTGTGTTTCCTGTTTCAGCCCTGAAAAAATTAGGGGCGGTAGGTAGGGATTATCACTCAAGTGTCAGATCATGGAGCTATAAGAGGTCGATCAGCTCGAAAAATGCATGTCCCTTGTAGGGGTTCACAGACAAAAAAAGACTAGGGTTGGCAGTTTTGTCTAGGGTTGGTCGGGAAACAGGAAACACAACATTTTTTTCTTGGCCTAATGTGTGTGGCGTAAGGTGCAAGAATCATAGACAGTCTCTTAGGAATATTTGGCAAAATTGTAGCTGTCAACATTTGTTACAAGCAAATTCAGCAAAAAGATGTATACAGAAGCATGAGACCTACAGAATTGCAATCATGAAGACACCTTGGTTGTACAGTGAGCTACATCAGCTGCGTATGAGAGAGGGCATGCAGATTATTGACAGGGCTGATACATGTGTTGGGGTAGGGGATAATATGGCAAGTACAGTAGGAAAAGCAAACTTTAAGGCAAGACATGCATGTGTTTTATTATTTTCATTGACATTAATTGCTGGAAAAAAGAGATGTATCTACAAAGTACAGAAAAAAATTCGTAGTAATTATGTAGTAAGATAATATATTAGTACAAAATGTAATGTATAGTTAATATGGCAAAATCTAGAGCATGAAAACCAGAGTTGTTAAGGATAGGTTTCTTTTATATCTGGGAACTGTTTCACTGTACCTGGTAGCTCCTCCCATTTGGATCAGGCTCAGCTAAGATTGACAGTTTCCTCTTGTACCTGGTACACTTCCAACAACACACCTGTCCACACCTGCAACAATCACAAGCTATTGACAAAGTATAGGTAATGTATGCAGCTTATTGTGAAGTCATAATGTCATATCAACAAATGCAAGTTGAGAAATACCACACTTTGATTTATGATTTGATGATACTGTATTAGTTTTGACAATGATCTTGCTTATTGTAATGTGAAAACATAGCAAAATACTCAATTAAAAAATACTACTTTGAATAATGATATGTATAGGAAAGGGTATGACGATTGACCACACATTTTTGTAAACCTTGGGTAATTTTGTGACACAGCAAAAATGGAATCTTGTTAAACACTTTGTAGCTAAAAACCTAGCTGGTCAGGTGACAGATTCAGTCAAGGACAACAGGAATCAGTCAAGGAAGAGGTTCTTCCTTCACAAGTGATTACAACAGTACTTTTCCCCACCTGTAGCAATGGTGTTTTCTGTCTGTCAGGCCAAACTTTTTCCTACAGCAGCTGCAGTTCGTGACTTCTCCGCTAGGTGTCCAGTGGCTCTTCTTGACGTAGGGGAAATCCTGGGCGTCGATTGGTCGGTTGTTCTGGTGGTCGCTGACCAGCGTTCCGATGTTCTGCTGGACTTCTGACCATTCACTGGAGATTATCATGCTGGGGGTTCTGATAGGGGGTTTCTAGAGGAAGATAAAACATTATTTTTGCTTTGCTCTCCAAACAAATGAGGTTGATGACCTGAACCAGACGTCTGTCACCATGGTAACTGGTGTTGGGTTACATCATGTTGCAATTCTATAGCAGGAGGGGTTTAGACTCCTGTCACCATATATATGAATGTAAGAACTAGAAAGGTAACATTTGCAAAGCAAATGTATAATATTGTACATTCGCATATGGTCACCTCTGTTAATTCTTACTCAAACACATTCATACATATGGTCAGACAGGAATGCTTCTTATTTTCATATATTCTTCAATGCCAAATTTGTGTGAAATTGAACTTTGCACCAAAATCAATGGTACATTATTTATAGATTCTAGAACACATATAATTTGACATTGAGACAGCAGTTGTAATGTCTTAAATATTACTTTAGATTAAAAAAAACCTGTCTCCCGTTCAACACATTCACTGTGTTTATTAATAACATGACAATCCAAAATGGGTGTGTCTTTAATAGTAAGTGAAAGTACCAGTACCCATTCTAGTCCAAAATGTAAACAAACATAATTTTGACTAGGAAAACAGGCGCGGAATGTAAGCCTTTCACGACAGATGTGGTACTCTTTTCATAAAAAATAATCGTCCTAAATTCTTAGGTTATACAATATCATCAACAGGTACAAATAATAGTTAAAACAGGTTAAAAACAGCTGCGAATTCCTTACTTTTGAGTACGGACTCACTGGAACATAAGAACCCGCCATCTTGTTTCGTGCTCGAAATTAGACGCACCCATTACGAAAAAGGGGTGACTAAACGAAATATTGTCCTTAAAGTTAGAACCTAAATTTCTACCTATTTCTGGGATGTTAAATTGTACATAACTTTTTAAGATATAACGTAATCTATTCATACAATATATACTGATGAAAAAGTATGTGATATCGATAAATAAAGTTAGGTTTTGAAGATTTCTAGTAGTGGTTTCGCCTTCAGTGAATCAGAGAAACATGGCGGCAGGGAACGACGATGTTTTTGACAGCTGGGAAGATTTGGCGGATAGCGGGGTAAGGAAGACATCACTGTCCGAAATATCACAATCTAGACGTAAACAACACATGGGGGTATAAGCTGGTCGAGTTTTAGGCCGCTACGTAGCATAGTAGAAAAGTTATGGCCATCGGCGAGTCGAGAGATTTTGTGAGTTCGCACAACGTGTGCCCCCCTCCCACCCCCAGATTCCATTCGTCAGACGTGCGTCACATACTATAATTTCTGAGGCACTTGTGTATGAAGTAACCATTTATGGGTATCTTTGAAACCTTTGCCGCATCTTCTTGGATTTATTTTTTTCGATCGAAAAAAGAAGAATTTCCCCACACCATTGATGTATGAAACTATGATAAATAATGGATGTAACGTTAAGTTGAGGAAGTTTGCTCTAGCAGTTTCTAATTATGCGGTCTGCACAATCACCGTGTAAACACGGTGTGGTTTCATCTAGTACTGGTATCAGAAAGAGAATAGATGCTGAACTGATATTGCTAGATACTGTCTGGAAGTTGGTGATTCACTGTACCCATTTTTGTATTAGCCACGAAAGGCAGCAGAATCATCAACAAGTTGAAGGAATCTGAATAAAAATTGTTCCAATTTCAAATGGAATTTTCTTTTAAACGAGTTGCTGATATATACAAATGATGATACTACAGTACTACTATGACTATTGATTATCGTACATGTACACATATTTTCAGGAATTGGAACGTCGATTGGAGAAAGACATGAAGACAAAAGAAATCAAGATCAAGTAAGTAATCATAGTGTTCCTCTTTCTCTCTCTTTATCCGGTTTAACGTCTTTTGTTCCCCATGTTCCGAGGGTTAGACGTGCTTGCAAACTGACGCTGGGGCTGGACTTTTTGGCAGGACTAAATCTTGGTGTATGCAATTTCCATGTACATATTAGACCTCCTTACCTAGCTGCGGCAACCATTGCAGGGCTTCTCTTGCTTGCAGTCTTTTACATTAACCCTAACAACAGTCGCGGAGCGGTGCATTGGGTCAAATGAACAAACATGCGTTTTACCGTGCCGGAACACTTTGAGACCGAAGTTTGCACGCCCCTAGATTCCTAACAGCCTTACCTAACATGCTGGGGTATTTTGTGAATCAACTGGCCCCTGCACGAGTTGTACCGCCACTATTTGCTCTCCTAAACAAAACCTCTTTCCTTTACAACAGAAAAAACAACAATAAGAGCCCAGCAGCACCCAGAGTCCTGGAGGAGGACACCCAACGCACACAATACCAGCCTCAGCTGAAGATCCTGAAACGTCCCACCAACTCTAGTGACGCGACGTCCCCCAACAGCACAGACAGTAAGCCAAAGGCAAAGCACAAAACCCTGGCACAGAGAGAGGCAGAGTACGCAGAGGCTCGGCTCAGAATACTGGGGGCAACGTCAGCAGAGCAGACCCAGGAGGAAAGGTAGACTTGTTTTCTACTTGTATTATAATATAGGTACATTTGTATATAAGTATGCTAGAGTTCCTTCCTTGTACCAATTTTACTCTGTGTAAAATTTGCCTACTGAAACCGTTAATTTAGTTTAAAGACACGCCACATATTCAAGATCTCCCCAGCCACCTTAAATTCAACTGTATCTGTACCCCTTTAGCTGGTATAACTGCCCTTTGGCATGCAATGCGGTGGCAGCTGACTACATTACACTGAATGTCTGTTACATCTAACCTTTTCATATCTGCATGTAGCTGTAACTACCATAAGTACAGCATTGTTCAAAGTTATCTATGCCCTAACTGTACTCGGTGGCAGCGAGTTCCTCTCTACAATTATAATTCTTGGAAAAACAAGTTTTTACTAGTAAACACCTCAATCCTTGGTTGATAACTCTGGTTCTGCACAGCTCCAGTTTTACCTGCACTAGCTAATGTGCAGGTGGTATTTCCAGCCCTGATATATATTACTTATAGATGATACAATGAATATCTCCCCAGGCCTGCCCATCTAGTCCAGCAGCTGGAGGAACTGAAGGTAGAAGACGGGGTAAGTGTCGTGCGGCAGCCTCGAGGTCCAGACGGCAGTGCAGGGTTCCAACTCAGCAGATAGTGCAGGAAAACAACACAGCTAGCCAGAAATATGCCCTGTACACTCCTCGTAATGCCACACTACGTCTCTGTCTGGGGAAAAAATACGCAAGATTGATGTGAACATAAAACACACAAGAATAGGGCCTAGGAAAAAAATATTGTGTTTCCTGTTTCAGTCCTGAAAAAGGTCGGTAGGAATTATCTTTGGCAATCTCTAGTGATCAAACTTAAACAATACAGTTTAACAAAGTAAAACTTGCATGAGGACATTTATATTTACAATGTCAATATTGGAAAACTGATTGTACAATGTTTCACTGACATGTCAGATCATGGAGCTAGAAAGGTTGTTAGCTCAAAAAATTATGTCCCTTGCAGGGGTCCACCTCAAAAAAAGGCTAGGGTTGGCAGTTTTTTCTAGGGTTGGTTGGGAAACAGGAAACACAACATTTTTTGTAAGGTCAAGAGCTTTGGCAGGACTAAATCTTGGTAAACTATATGCAATTTTCACATACTTGACCTCCTTACCCATCTTTGTCTTTAACCCAGCTCAAAGAGCTTACAGAATTAGTACCGCAAAAAGCACAGTGACACACAGCAAAAAAGAAAATTCAAGTATTTTACGCTGTTCAGGGATTACAAAAAACTGGTTTTCCTGTCAAAGATGACTTGTATTTTTCAAATGTATACTCCAAACCACCTAAATACTAAACCCCTTCCCTCGCTTATCAATCAATGATTCAAAGATCACTTGTCATTGGTACAAATGTACACCTTTATGAAGGTATAATACCTTACCTTACTGTTGATTTGTGAAAAAATTCTATGGTTTGAATTGTGTGTCAAGCAGATGTTTATTATTAGAAAACAAATAGAAAAAAATGTACAAAATGTATCTTTACTATGTTTTGCTTCAGAACTGCTCTCAGTTCAGAACTTCTCAGTTGCCACATCTACATTGCATGATGTACTGGATAGAAGTTGTATTTTTCACTGGTCAGTAGATAGCCCAAGTTGGCTAGCAAGGTTATGTGGTAGTAAACTGCATAGACATTACAGGGTGTAGGAAAAGGGCTTGTAGAGCTTTCTTTTAGTTGATGATCTATAGGAATGGTAAAATGTAGGAATGGTCACGGTAAAACTTCAACTGTGTACTTCCAAACTAGTCAAAATGCCCAAAGGACCACTCAGGGGAGGGATAAAATCAGGTCTATGTGGACAGGTGGTCACTATAGACAGGATTCTTCATGCTTGTGTCATTGTCTAGGGGACTGCCGAAAATGGCCACATGTGTCAGGTGGTCCATACGTAGAGGTGATACTTGTAGAACGTTGACTGTTGTATTTGCTAAAAATTACTACATGCACCTTTATAAGCAAGTCGGCAGAATGTACTGTGCCTGCGCGACCCAGATTTTTCATGGTTTTCGTTGGATGTTTGGTCAACATGCATCTGAATTCTACCTGTTGCAGACAATATTCTTTCTGATACATTTGAAAACTATAAACTGGACGTTATCCTTAGATACGCAAATACGATCTCAAACGAGGTGTTCTGTCAAAGTGTAGGGTTCACGCAGGTGCAGTACGTTCTGCTGACATGCTACCTTTATAGCATTTACAATATTTTGTGCCCCAGTACTCTTGATAAGACCTACTTACAGATACATTCATGGACATACAACATAGTTTCATCAATGTTATGACACAAAAAAAAGTGGAAAAAGAAAATAAGGGCAACAACAAGTAGTTATGTTGTAGTTTTATTTTACTGAAAACATAAGCATTTGAAATAACCACTGCAATTGATAAACCTGTGAAAAGCATCCACAAGTGGGTAAATTGTGGAAGAATAGTCAGTATTTTGTGCAACACAATTGCAGAGGAATAGATAAATGTACATGTATCTTTGCATTGAGTATTGAAAAGAAGCAAGTACAATGTAAGTATAGAGTGAAATTGTTGACAATGTTGAGATGATTGCGTCACGGATGCGCTTTGTATGGTAGGGTTTATTTTCAGCGCGTACTACCACTGTGCAATTGTAAATAAAAACAAAGAAAAACTGGTTGTACATGCTTCTTCATTTTCTGTGTGACATGATCTAGCTTAAACAGACTTCCATGAAAAATAATATAAATCAATATGGAACCCTTCAGTAAGGACAATCTTCAATTAAATGAATTAAATGACTCCTAATTGTCAAAATAAGAATTGATAGTACGAGCCAATTGTACAATAACCTATTGGAGCCAATTGGCAACTTTCTTAAAACTCAGACATTTTGCAAGAAAACTGATTCTGATTCAGGTTCCGTTGCAGCTTTTATTCATGTTTACTGAAGGAAAACATATACTAGTATGTTTTTGCTCTGTTTCCTCTTCTTCTCAAAACAAATAAGGTTAATGACCTGAACCAGACGTCTGTCACCATGGTAACAGGTGTTCGATTACGTCACGTTGCAATTTTATAGCAGGAGGGATTTATACTCCTGTCACCAGATGTATGAATGTGATTGAGTAAGAATTAACAGAACAGACCAAATGCAGAAAATGTTACTTTTCTAGTTTAAAAAACACATTATTACGTAGATCACGTAATAAGACGAGTGCTCTTCTTCACTCCAGCCTTGATGCCTGAAAACTCGCCGTCATATCGGTGGAGCTCAGTACGGTGTTCTCGGACCTGAAGAAAAGACAAAAACAAAAGCATTTGGAAACAGTTCTGACAAAATACCAAAATCTAAAAACATATCTTTCTGTACTTTTGATAAAGGTTTGAAGAAATGGCTAGGGACCATTGTGAGTAGTGGTACTAGTACTGTTTCTAAGGAAAGCTTTACAATGAATGAATGACGTACTTTATTGCACATTTTTGCCACACTGGGCTAAGTACAGGTCAAAACAAAAGATGATGAACAGATACATTGTATATGCAAAATAAAACTAGCTATCATTAGTAATGAATTGGGGATTGGATAAAACTTTATTTCTCTGAAAACATACATTTCTAGCTAATAGTTTCTTTATTTTGCAGTATGGCCAGTTTTTTTCACAACCTGGATAAGCAACAACTTTGCATGAATGTGACAACAAGATGTGCCCGTACCTGGCCCTTCCTGCGAATCTTAGCCCTGCGAAACTTCTTCCTCAGCTTCACCCGCGGGTTCCTCTCCTCTTTCTTCCTCTTGGGGGTCAGACCCTTGTTCTTAGAAATCTGCCAAGGTCAAGACAAGAAAGATTACACACTATGTCATACATGAACAAGACTGCCTTATCACTTGTAGTCTTGTACCTTGCTTTACTTGTAGTACTCAGCCCATGTCTCATATACATACTGTATAATATTAGACTCACCTCACTGTACTTAATTTTCTGTGCACACAGCCTATACATCTCACCAAAGGTGTCTAAGCTTCTTGGCCATTGCAAAACTTGTCTTATGAGTTATGTAATATAACTAGATTGAGATAGATTTTTAAAAGTTATTGGAAAATTCAAGAATCAATCATTACCAGCGCTTAATCAATCCAATGTTTTTCGTGAAAATTCCTCTCCACTTTTTCAATGTTCAAGCCAAGTCGATAGTGACAACATGAAGAGTATGAGTTTTACCATGTTCTTGTCTTACCTCATAAGTGATGGCTCTTTTCCCATCCTCCCCTTCTTCCTCCTCCTCTTCATGGTCTCCAGCTGGCTTCTCCTCTGCAACTGTGTCTTCTCTCTCTTCTTCAGAACTGTGGGTTGTATTGCATAAACTCAAGGTAAATAACTGTGTATAATTTACATTCTTGCACAGATATAGGAGATTAAGTTTAAAGTGGAAAATGGTAGAAAGAAAGAAAGAAAGAAAGAAAAAGAAAGAAAGAAAGAAAGGGGAAAATTTTTTTGTGTAAAGTCCACATTTGTTTGTGTACAGGTTTGTCACTCACTGTACACAAACAAAAAGCCCCTGAAGTCTCACCTCTCTTCCTCTTCTAACTGTGCTTTTCTTCTCTTTGCCTTCATCTGTTCATAGAACTCAATAGCCTCTTTCTCTGCTGCTGTTAGGTGTTCTTTCTTCCTCTGGGGGGACAAAGAAAAACACAATCAAAGATTCAAGTCACTTGCAAACTTCATTTTGCTACAGGATATATTGCTACATTATATTGCTACAGTAGCTGGTTAACATAATCAAAATTGCTACATGTCCAGAAAGCTGGGGTTGAGTGGCAAAATGGCAGGAGTGCTTGACACGGAACCAAGAGGTCCCAGGTTTGAGTCCTGACATGTCACTGATCTTGTGCCCTTGGGAAGGCACTTAATACGACTTTCTTCACTTAACTCAAATGAGTATTGTCTGTCCTGTATTTGTTTCTATGTGTGGGACACAACACCAGCAACAGCTGCCTGTATTGTTACAATTGCAATAAATCAAATCAAATCAAAACTGTACTTGTGAAGCAATGCAGGTTCTTGTAAAGCAGGACTGCACAAATCTCCTGAAGTACCTTTTTGAGTTTTGTCTTCTGTTGTGTGTCCTGAGTGTCCTCCTGTACCAGGTCGGCCATGTTGTCCTGAGTGTCTGCAGGTTTGTGTTTCCCTGTATGTTTCCTCCTGATCTTCTGTACCACACCAGGTACTGCCTCTCCTGTCCCCTGCCCCAGAAGGAATAACACTTCTCCCTCCAGCTCCTCATCTAATGGTGCCAACTCATTTATCAACTGAAATGTTGAAAGACAAGATTGGTAAGTCATTGAAACAACTAGGAGCGAGTAGAAACAGGAAAAACCTGACTACCAGGACACTGGGAATCAAACCCGTACTGAACACAGAAGGAACGAAACTTCTAGCTCCAGCTCTTCATCTAATGGTGACAACTCATTTATCAACTCATTTATCATGTGTCAAAGGACAAAATTTATTAGTCAATATATCTTGAAAGTTCATCTGTGTTGGTAGATGTAATTATGCCGTCATTATGCCATAGGTTTAAACTGTAGTTTCCAACTCAAAGAATTGCACTTACCCAAATTTTGGACTGTACAACCCAAGATTTCTTGACAAAGACTAGAGTTGTACAGTCGAAACTTTAGGTAAGTGTAAGTACAGATCATACACATACTGAACTATACCATTGCTCATCATTGCATGTTGTAACACCCTAAATACTTCCTAAACAAACTCACATTCCTGTACTGGACCAGCCTGTTAATGACAGGATGACTGCGTACGTTGGGCGTGTGTCCTGCCTTCAGTACCAGGTAGAAGGAAATGTTCACACAGTAACTGCAACATAGGTCATGAAACAGAAGTATTAAAACACCAAGATGCTTATGGCATTTACAAAATTTCAATACATAAACAATATTTTTCAAACAATGCAAGTTATGCAACTAGTCCAAAACACATTGTCTTATTATTAAGCTGAAAGAGGCAAACTATTGTGAAATCATTAGTGCTTATTCCAGAAATGTTATCTATCCCATCACCCTGACAGATCATTGTGCACAAGTGTACAAGTTGTGAGTCAATCTAGTTTAGCTTGAATGTACAAAATAAGGTTGACTTACTTGAGGTAGAGTTGAAACTTGGTCTCCACATAGGTTGCTCCCTGAAACAGAAATAGTGAGTAAACATTTGCCTTTTTCCATGCATAGATCACGACCTGGATTTTTCAGACGGTTAAAAAATGGCAGCAATGTAATGAATAATCATACCTTGCCAGGAGGTATGACTCCGGACCGAACCATTTTCAGCAGGGGGTGGAGTCTGTCAATCACTTCCTGCAGCTGTAACAAAAGTCATCGTCAATTTTCATCGTAATCGGCCATTTTAATTCTAAGTAGAGTGTAGATGGAACGCTCTAATTCAACGTAGAGCATAATTGGCGCATTTTGCGTAAAGCCTATTCGCCGTTTTAATTCTACATAATACAGTGTAGCCACTTGGAATTTATCGTAAAGCGTAATCGAGAGCTCTCAACATTTAGCATAGAGCATTGCTGGGACCCCCCCATGCAGGCCCCCACGTATCATTTCTTAACCAGAATCTTACCTTTTCCTTGAAGTCGTCCATGAGCTCCTTAAGTTCTGGTGCCTCCTTCCTTAGCAGGTCCATGCGTTCCCTGTGAGACAGCTGACTCAGGTCCTGTAACACTCTCTCCTCTGCCTCCTCCTCTGGCAGGGCAGCATCTTTTGTCGGCTTCTTAGCTGGCTGGAGGTGTCAATCATTATGTAAGATTAATTAGGCCTAGGAAACAAAATTGTTGTGTTTCCTGTTTCAGTCCTGAAAAAATTTGTCAGTAGGTAGGGATTATCTTTTTTCTTTTTTTTTTACCTTGGTGACCTCTCTATATATGTAGGTAGTGATCCAAGGTTATACAATACAGTTCAACAAAGTAAAACTTGCAAGAGGACATTTACATTTGAAATATCAATGTTGGAAAACTAATTCAGTAGTAATTGTACAATGTTTCTTCACTCAGGTGTCAGATCATGGAGCTAGGAAAGGTTGATCAGCTAAAAAAATGTACATGTATGTCCCTTGCTGGGGTTCACCCCAAAAAGGCTAGGGTAGACAGTTTTTTCTAGGGTCGGTTGGGAAACAGGAACAGATTGAAGGTTTGCTACAGACTGAGTACCTTGAACAGCTCCAGCCCGAAGTCCTCCTCACTCAGTGCCTCCGCCATGCGTTTCTGGATGGCCAGAGCTTCTCTATCCTCCACTAACCTGCATACACAGGTGGGATTTTGAGTCCTGTAAGTACCTTGAACAACTCCAGCCCGAAGTCCTCCTCACTCAGTGCCTCTGCCAGGCGTTTCTGGATGGCCAGAGCTTCTCTATCCTCCACTAACCTGCACTAACCTGCATACACAGGTGGGGTATTGAGTCCTGTAAGTACCTTGAACAACTCCAGCCCGAAGTCCTCCTCACTCAGTGCCTCTGCCATGCGTTTCTGGATGGCCAGAGCTTCTCTCTCCTCTTCCTGCTGAGCTTCCTCCTCTTCCTCATCACCTACTACTCCTGGGGGCACAGAAAAAAAAATTGTTATAGAGCTGTGACCCAATACCTGTTGTGCAATTCTAACTATACTTCCAAAAATAGTTCCATCAGGTCGGTTAAGTATAGGATACAGGAAGTAGACCCCAGTGATGGGCTGGGTCGAGGGGGGGTACAAACTCAGCCACATTTGGGATTGTGTACATCGGTTACATATAACGGCAAGAAGCAGAACTCCAATCAGAAGCGCCTGAAAGCACAACAAAAGATGTTTTGCAACTTTTTCCTAAACCGGGGAATGAGTGTGACAAGCCAGCACTCCCATATCAATTTTCAGATTGAAACCTATGTGGCCACCACATACACAACATGAAGTCTTTCTCAAAATGATCTTTTTCCAGTTCACCTACTACTCCTGGGGGCACAATAAAGAAATTTGTTATAGAGCTGTGATCAAAAACTGTTGTGCATGTTCCTATACTATCATGAAAGTTCATCTGTGTTGGTAGTTACATGTTTAAAGTTAAAACTTTTGATGCAAGACAATAAAGTTCTCTGAGTCTCATCAAGAGCTTTCGACCAGTCACTCTGGTCTTCCTTCTTTAGTAGACTGACCCAGTGAGGCTTGTCACATGGCTTCTTTGAAGTTTTAACTTTAAACATGTTTAACAATAGTTTGTTTCTTCTACAAGCCTATGAAGAAAATGGAGTCTCAGTAAACAGATAAACCTTACCTGGTAAGTCTTCATCCACATAGTCTGTGTTGTAGTACAGAGACTTCTTCTGCCCCCAGGCCTTCTCATCTGGCATGTCTGGATAAAGCAGGAAAAAAGTTGTTCATGTTACACATTAAATGTTTTGTTTCAAGATGCTAATCATGATATCAAAGTTCACGATTTTAACTAAAAAGCATTAATTGCTCAAAGATCAGATGTTGTGTATTATTATTGTATTATATGTAGTGTGCAAGCACATCTAACCCTCGGAAGACTGGGAACAACAGACGATAAACCGGACAGTGAGCGTGTGAGTGTGTGTGTTTGTAACAGAAGTACTAGTATGCCTTGAACTATGTTTTGATTGGAGTGATTTGATTGGTTACAGCCACTGTTCATACCATCATCCTGTTCCCCCATGTCACTGTCTGCCATCTCATCATCATCTTCTTCCTCTTCATCTTCCTCCTCTTCATCATCATCAGAGTCAGGTACATCAAGTGCCATCACTTCTTCCTGTACAACATGGATGGAAAAAAATATGGGAAATTACACATGTAGAAAGGTAACATTTGCAAAGCAAATACTTAATGTTTACCTTCACACTGTTTAGCCAAACAAACTAACTCTGTTTATTACTCAAACACATTCATATATCTGATGACACAGTGCAATTCTGTCCAGCTATTGCTACATAATGTAATTCAACACCACAGGGTGCCTCAGAAGGACTGGTTACCATGGTGACAGACGACTGGTCCAGGTCAATGACCTTATATGTGTTTGGAGAAGAAAAGAAACAGAGCAAAAAGAATAATGTTTTCCTTCTGCGAAGGTAACCATAATCAGTATATGCCAAACATGCATGCCATGGAATGATAGAAAATACTTTAATTCTCTTAGCTAGTATTTTGATGCTGTTGATATAAAATATATGGTTTCAAAGAGAAATGAAAATATCAATAGACAATAGCTTACCTCATCCTCACTGCTGTCTGCTGGTTCCAAATCTCGTGCTGCATCCAACAGGACCTACAGAATCAACAGAACACGAAATTGAAACTTTAACAAAACAACATCAGAAGAAATCAGGTCTCCATTGATTCCATTTGCATCTTACAGCAAATAAAATGCACAGACATATTCTATATCTCTGTCTTAGTTTTCCTGGTACATTTTACTTCAGATCAGCCTTCTACACATTATTGAAGGTTTGAATTTCAAACTGCTACCCAGTGACTGGTGAATGTTTCCATACAATTATTACAATGCAAAATATTGATGAATGAATGAATGAATGATCTTTATTGTACGTTTGTGCTCTAACAAGCTAATTATAAGTACAGGTCATGAATAGACAAGGAAAATGATACAGCAATGACGCTGAAACTACATCTACACATACTAATGTGATCTACTATTTACATGTTCAACTTCCTCCCGCTTCTTGATGCACTTATAGATGTATGAGCCTATAGAACTAAAGATACATGGTTTGTCAAGTTTCATAAGAAATGTGAATTTTGTTCACCTTGTCCTTTTGCGAATAGAAGTCGTCCACATCATCATTCAGGTAGTCGTCAGGTTCCAGCTGATCATTCTGTGCATCTGACGCATCACTGTCGTTTTCTGTTGCCTTGGCAACTGGCCTCTTACTCCGTCTGTTACATAATTTGTATGTTAATTGTATTATTCTTTTCTACTAAACAATCTGCACACTCTGTTTAGCACTGAACCACCCAAGTAACCATATATTAGACGTTAAACAAGGATACCAACAACATAATTTTGGCACTCGTTTTTATCAAATTGTTAAATACCAACTAAAAGGAAAAGGCTATCCTCGAAGCAGCTCCTAAGTCAGTCCTTTTTTAGTACAGTCAAACCTGTACAAGTGACCACCTCTACATAAGGACCGCCTAGACACTTTTTGGTGGTCTCTTTTTGAGTCTTTAAAAGTTTAAAGTAATTTTTCCCGTATTAAAAGTTGACACAAGCATAATTTATGGAAATGAATCCTACAACTAGATAGTAATATTAGCGGTTGCTAATATAGACAGGTTTGCGTTGTACATAGTCATTGTAGTGTAACTTACAATATGTTTTTTGTGTGTGCTTTACCTTTTACAGGGTTCCTTCTCATCCTTTTCTAATCCCCACTTACCTTGTAAACAATTTCGTCATCAATATACTAACAAAAGAACAATAGTTACACCCAAAACAAAATTTCACTTCTTTATGACTTCTCTATGCCCCATGACCTGTAACCTTTTGAGGGTCATGCAGGCGTCAACAGCGCCCTCCCCACGCCTTGCCCACCTACCTACCGAACTACCTACCTACCTACCGAACTACCTACCTACCGAACTACCTACCTACCGAACTACCTACCTACCTACCCTCGCAAATGCAAGGTGATGTTTCTGCACTTCTCAAAAACTGTGCCACCACTACCCTCACTAAAAATTGACAACTACCCCCTAGTACAAGTTCAAGTAGCTAAACTCCTGGGGCTCCATATACAAGCTGACCTAAAATGAAACACCCAGGTGGACCACATGGCCAAGAAAGGAAGCCAGAGGCTTTTCTTCTTGAGAAGACTCAAATCTTTCGGAGTTACTAGAGAAGATCTTGTCACCATATATACAAGTTTTGTCCGACCCACTTGTGAGTACGCTGTCCCAGTTTGGCAACCAGCCATTACACAGTCCCAAAGACGTCAACTGGAAAGAATACAGCGAAGGGCTTTTCGAATCATCCTTGGGCCTGACTACACAACCTATACTGACGCTTGCAACACGCTATGCCTCATGACACTACAGCAAAGACGTGAACACCTTTGTCAGACATTCGCAAGAAGACTACTACAGTCTGAGTCCTACCGGAATTGGCTACCCCCCTTCCGGGGAGACGTCAGTGGTAGAAGAACAAGAAACAGCAGCCTATTGGACACTATTAAACACGAACTAATCGTTACAGGAATAGTCCCATACCCTATCTTGTAACACTCTTCAACAATAATGCAACCAGTATTTGCAGTTTCGATTCAAATATGTTGTAATGCACATATGTTAAGTTTGGGAGAAGAAATTCATTAGATTTTAATTCTTATGTAAAGATCTTTACCTGACCTGAATTATCACCTTGAACGTATTAGATTTTGACGTATGGTCTCAACCATTGCATGATACGAGAATTCATCAATAATTGGAGTATTTTCTCATAATATGTTTTTTACAACGGCCCTGACTGGAATGTTTCAATGATTGCTAATATTAAATTTCTAGTCCCCCAAAATAGTTCAACCAGCACTATGCAATGCCGAACTAATATGTTTGAATATACACATTTATGACAAGTCATCAATAATAATGTATTAATAATAGGCTTATTGAAATCTGTATGCACGATATGTATTTAACCTCTGACAATGTCTACTCAGAGGTTATCTTTTAATCTGTTAATTTGTAGATTGTATTTTATTAATAATTTATGTATTTCTTTAATAATTTGTAACCCATGTATTTGTCGAATTGTTTTAGCAGTGCAATTCAGTGCGGGTTTACACCAAGCACTGCGAAACTGTAATCTTTGAGAAATAAAACCAATCACTACCACTACCTACCGAACTACCTACCTACCGAACGACCTACCTACCGAACGACCTACCTACCGAACGACCTACCTACCGAACGACCTACCTACCTACCTACCTACCTACCTACCGAACGACCTACCTACCGAACGGGCCTACCCAAGTAAGGAGCGGGCCTACCCAAGTACGGAGCGGGCCTACCCAAGTAAAGGAGCGGGCCTACCCAAGTAAAGGAGCGGGCCTACCCAAGTACGGAGCGGGCCTACCCAAGTAAGGAGCGGGCTACCCAGTAAAGGAGCGGGCCTACCCAAGTAAAGGAGCGGGCCTACCCAAGTAAAGGAGCGGGCCTACCCAAGCTGCTTTGCATGTTGTAATTTTGTCGGGACTGTAACAAGTTGTTGTCAGGATGGCGTCCTAATTTACCTCGGCAATGGAGGCAACACCTTGACGCGGTGCCGGGGCTTGTACCAAGATTGTCTCCGGGAAATTCCTGTTGGGTAAAATTGAATGTCTGTGTGGTCCTGTTTCGCCTGTGTGCTGACTCTTCCTTATCACCCTATTGTGACTGAGCGATATGCCCAAACACAGCGTTACTGTCTAGGTAATCAAACACGTAAGAATGACCTTTGACATGGGTATGATCATAAACATACACTAGATAGTAATATTAGCGGTTGCTAATATAGACAAGTTTGCGTTGTACATAGTCATTGTAGTGTAACTTACAATATGTTTTTTGTGTGTGCTTTACCTTTTACAGGGTTCCTTCTCAACCTTTTCTAATCCCCACTTACCTTGTAAACAATTTCGTCATCAATATACTAACAAAAGAACAATAGTTACACCCAAAACAAAATTTCACTTCTTTATGACTTCTCCATGCCCCATGACCTTTAACCTTTTGAGGGTCATGCAGGCGTCAACAGCGCCCTCCCCACGCCTTGCCCACCTACCTACCGAACTACCTACCTACCTACCGAACTACCGACCTACCTACCCTCGCAAATGCAAGGTGATGTTTCTGCACTTCTCAAAAACTGTGCCACCACTACCCTCACTAAAAATTGACAACTACCCCCTAGTACAAGTTCAAGTAGCTAAACTCCTGGGGCTCCATATACAAGCTGACCTAAAATGAAACACCCAGGTGGACCACATGGCCAAGAAAGGAAGCCAGAGGCTTGTCTTCTTGAGAAGACTCAAATCTTTCGGAGTTACTAGAGAAGATCTTGTCACAAGTTTTGTCCGACCCACTTGTGAGCACGCTGTCCCAGTTTGGCAACCAGCCATTACACAGTCCCAAAGACGTCAACTGGAAAGAATACAGCGAAGGGCTTTTCGAATCATCCTTGGGCCTGACTACACAACCTATACTGACGCTTGCAACACGCTATGCCTCATGACACTACAGCAAAGACGTGAACACCTTTGTCAGACATTCGCAAGAAGACTACTACAGTCTGAGTCCTACCGGAATTGGCTACCCCCCCTTCCGGGGAGACGTCAGTGGTAGAAGAACAAGAACAGCAGCCTATTGGACACTATTAAAACACGAACTAATCGTTACAGGAATAGTCCCATACCCATCTTGTAACACTCTTCAACATAATGCAACCAGTATTTGC